TGATTGTCCCTCTGTACTCAGCACTGGTGACACCGCACCTTGAGTATTGTGTTCCGTTATGGGTACCTCAGTATAAGAGAGGTATCGAGGTGTTGGAGCGGGGGCAGAGGAGGGCAAAGGTGTTGGAGCAGGTGCAGAGGAGGGCAACAAAACTGGTGAAGGGCCTGGAGAACAGACCTTAGGAGGAGTGATTAAGGGAGCTGGGTCTGTTCAGTTTGACGAAGAGGAGGCTGAGGGGGGACCTCATCATGCTCTACGATTACTTGAAAGGACATTGTAGAGAGGTTGGTGCTGGTCTCTTCTCACAGGTAATTAGGGACAGAACCAGCGAGAATGGTTTCAAGCTGCAACAGGGCAGGTTTAGGCTGGACATTAGGAAGAAATTCTTCACAGAAAGAGTGGTCAGAAACTGGAATAGACTGCCTAGGGAGCTGGTTGAGTCACCACCCCTGGATGTGTTTGAGTGTCGCTTAGAGGTGGTGGTGGGTGATACGGTTTAGGAGTGAACTTGTAGTGTACGGTTAATGGTTGGACTTGATGATCCCAAGGGTCTCTTCCAACCTGAATTGTTCTATGATTCTATGATGTAAAGGTCAGGTGAATACTACTTAAGAATTTTACCTTGTCATGGAACTGTCTAAAAAATTAGTCACTTGTTACCTCAACTAAAACCATGAAATCCCAGTGAGGTGTGGCCACTGTTTCCCAGTTTCATGAGATTTAAACATTAATCACCCCATTCAGTTCAATTAGCCTTCCCTAGCACCCCGTCATGCATGTTTTTCATTGCTCATAACTGCTCCTAAAACAAGAGCCAAGTGTACTCAGATTCTCCCAAACTGCTCTGTCTCCTCCAGGGTTGGATTATAAGGAGCAACCCTGCAGCATGAAGCTCACGCAAGTTGTTTAGTGGATTTTAGTAAGCACAGATTTAGGCTGCAGCTGAACACAGATTTGCAGGTAAAAATGTTCTTCATGAAAAAAAAAAAAAGCATTATACAAAACTTTCTCCAATTATCTTCAAAGCATTTAGGAAAATCTAAAATGAACCAAAATATTTTCCCTTACTGTGTACTTAAAATTAAAAGTGGTTAATGGAGGAGGAGGGGGGAAACCAAAACCAAAAGAAACCCATTCAAGCTTCCAGAATCCAGGATAGTAAACATGCTTTAAAACTATGACATTTAAGGATGAGGACAGCTAAAAAAATCAGAACGGTGAACCTATCTTTCCAGAAATCAGGCTGGATTAAGACAGCGGTGGCTGACCAGAGATATGCTCTTTGTAAAAACAGAGAAACGGAGTGCCCCCATCACAGGGCTGTATACAGGCCATGTATAACCTAAGGTTAGAAAGGGAAAGGTTTCTAATCATGAGAGAATTGTAAAAAAAACACGAAGACAAGTACTTCAGCTTTTTCTTACTATTTACAGCTTTTGATCCAAAGCTACTTTGTACAGTTTTGATAGAAAAAGAACAGGCTTCCCACATCTGAGACCTCCTGTAGACCGTCACATACTTAAAAAGTCTAGAGTTCTCCCTCAAGCTGTGATGCTTTTAGGAGGTTTTGGCTTAGCAAAGAGCTTTCTATGCCCAGCACTTTTGATGAAAGTGCACAGATGTGTTTTGCAGAGTATGCTTAGGCTTATGCGACTGCAACATGAAGCTGTTGTCTCCTGGACACGAGGTCTTTTAACTTTGTTTATTAACTCGACATTTCATGGATACTGATACTCACATTAAGAGAAGGAAAGAATGGCTATTTGCTTGAGTTTATGGGATAAATTTGTGAACCACAAACACCACCAAGTTTCTACAACCATCAGTTAAAACAGTTTTAATTAAGCCATGACATTTTAAAGGAGTGCCACATACATTAGTATCACTTGAGAGTAACTATTGACTATTTGCAATAGCTTTCTCCCAAACGTCTTACTTGTGTAACACACTGACTACGCTTCTACCCCTCCCAGTATACTCAGAGCCAAGTTTATTTTACATTAGTTCTTTTTTGACAAATTATGACACTGCTTATAAAAAACAAACACAACAAAACTCATAGACTGAAATTATGTTAATCTCTATTACCATACCATCCTCCCTCTCATTAAGAAGGGTGTTCATTTTCTTATGTCCTTTTTCTCCTTTTTAGCTTTAGATGTGTAAGGATATTCCAGACTTAGTATTCTCTGCTGCGTTTTGAATTCACTAGAAAGTAGGTAGTATCGCTACTTAGGTTTCAGATAAGTCTACACAGTATTCCTCACCAGGCAGTACTGTACAGAAAAGCATGGAGAAAAAAAGAAAATACAAGACACACATTTGTCACTGGATTCTCTTCTTCAGCAAGAATCATAGATACAGTTGATTGTATAAACCACAACTGGACTTGTAACACAGTTCTGAAGTCTGCAGATGTTTACACTCTGTAAAGTTATAAAACAGAGGCCTGGAAGGGACCTTCAGAAATCAAATGGCCTTTCCAAAACATGATCACATCCAGTACATAGAATAATCAAATTTAAAAAGGTGTTACAAAACAGAAAGATATACAATATATAGTACAAGAAATACTGGGCATTGAAAAAGCTTGGTTCTAAATCATTTAAGTTTTACAGTGTGCTGATTAATGCTTTTTAAATTCTATTGTTTATGTGTGCATGAATGCATATATCCACACACTTACCCTAAGTATTGGGTTTGAGATACCAAGAATTAAGTCCTCAGCTGCTCATTACAGAGTAACACACAGCATTTGCTTTCCACCCTACCTGTACTCCCCTCAGAAATCTGTCTCTGCTAGAGCTGCTTCCCCCATAGCTGGAAGAGGAGATTCACTAATGAGCGTCTTCTCCAGATGAAGAAAGCTCTGATAAAGATTACAGACCATAATTACATCTGCTGTAAGCTGCTGCAGGTCCATGACCAACACAGACATGGCTCTGACTCGCTGGAATACTAATTTGGAATCCCTGGCTCCAGACACACAAGCTACAAGCCAGACAGATTACTCCGAGATGGGCGTCTGTATGAATTTTGCATATGTAAATTGCTCACAGAACTGCTTTTCTATTTTTACCTGTTATAGCTAGCGACTCACAAAGCATCTGCAAATTTACTAAACTCTGGAGTACTTGCAGTGCATTTTAGAAACTTCTGGTGGTTTTCAACACCTTATGCCAAGATTTCCCTCCAAAACACAGCTGACAGTTAAGGACAGTTTTAAATTAATTTTTAATTAAGCTGCAGTTTTAAAAAGTTGGACATAAAGAACAGTGTATGTTTCTGCTCAAAGGTATTTTTTAAATCTGGATCCCTCAGATACCATGTAAAATGTATTTAGTTTAACATACAAAAGTTTATTGATTCTCTCTGTGCAGTGTATATTAAATTATATGTGGCACAAGTCCTGCAGTGGCCACAAAAACACTAAGTGCTACATTAGTCATGGTTATACACACCAGCTCCATGCTTTAGAAATCTCCATCCAACAGCACCAACTGGTGGAAAATAAATTTTAATTTTATTTTCCTCTTAATTCCAATAGCTAATAGTCAACAATAGTCCAGTAACAAGAATGAGAACACATTCTTAGGCAGCAGGTGCCTGCAATAGTCTCAGGGAAGTTCCTTCCTTGTGACTGACTTTGGTGGAGGGGAAAAAAAAAAAAAGAAAGCACTCTTCAGAAGGCTGGATTTTCTTCCTAGTTCCATTTAAGGCAATTTTGTCAAAAGTGAAAACAAAATAATTTGCAGGTCCCTCTAATGGGTTGTTTAAAATTTCTCCTCTTACTTTCTAAACTTGAAACACTACATCTTTATTCATAAGCAAATGTTTGAATAAAATAAATGATGACTCAATTAGTTGGGAGGGGAAGGAGCAAGTAAACCACCCAGACAGAATTGACATGAGAATACGTAAATAATACTTTAGGTAAAAGCTATTTGCTTAAAGATGCCAATGTTTTTACTAATTTATTGCCAGGGCTAGCAAGAAATACTCTGAAGAAATAAGGTCAGTTCTTTTCAGTTTGTAATTGCACCAGATTTACATCAGAAGTGCTCCTCTTGTTTTGACAGTTGACTGTACTTGGATTTAATCTTTCAATTTAAGTACGGTGCTCTCTCTGGGGAGGAGTAGTAATAGGTAGGCTTGATGTTTCCCAGGACTTCATCTTCCCAGTTGGGGAGGCAGCAGAAGAAGAAAGCACAACCAATCACAACAACAGTGCTGGCCCAACCAAAGCCATAGGCCCAGCTGAACATATTATCTCCTGTCAGTGGAATTTCTTCTGTGAATTTCACTGGGTAGATGACCAAGCCTATGATCTGGAATGCAGCTAGAGAGGGAAAGAAAGAAAGAAAAGCAGGAGTAAATGACAATGAATGTATTACATTTCCCACTGGAAAAAAAAAAAAAGGTACCGAAAGTAACTACCTATCTTTTTAAGGTATGCAAGAATCAGCTTCAGTCCTACAATCAACTCTGCATTCTTACAGAGGTACGTGACTTCTGGCCAAGGCAGATCCCCACGCCTGTCTGACTGCAGCAGCAACAGCTGATGTTGCCAGGTTGCTAAGGCACGTACCTGCATGTCATAACCAGCCCTGTCCTAAAGCCAGGCAGGATCCCTGTGGAGCCAGTTACCTCCTGCCTGTACCATAGCTCCGTCACACTTCCTCCCCACTAGGAGGACGGGAAGCACCTGGGGCTCTCAGCTCCTAAAGCTTAGCAAGTGACATGAAGGGTCAAAAGTGATGGTTTCCCCTGTACACTGCTTTTGGAAAAGTGCTAACTGAAAAAGGCCACTGGATCTTCCCTAATCCTTATCCTCTCTCTGTCCTCTGAACAAAAATCAACCTTCCCTTGCTCCCCATGAGTCATAAACCAAAGACAGCTGATTTCACAAGGGAGGCTCCATCTAGCATGTTTTTCTGCCGATGCCTGTTTTGCATCTAAAATAGGATTGTCTTTGTGCCCAGCCTTACCAACAACAAAGAGCAAGCCTCCGATTCCTCGCACGAAGTTGAAGCGGAGTATCTCAATTGAGAACGCGATGACTGCGAGGGCGAAACAGATGACCAGGATCACAAAGCCAACAAGGTATGTGGCAGCTGCTGCCCTCCCCCATCCTTGAAGAGAAAACAAGAATGATATTACACACAGTGGTGCACTGAACTGTAGGTCATTGCAGGTCTTTGGTTTCCTTTAATCACTTTTTGTTGAAATCCTTTACTGTAAGAAGCATGCCCTATGTCAAAGCAATACTGGGTGCCTCCAAAGCACACAGCTGCAGAGCAGAGATGCACCATCATCAATGAAGCAGCACAGAACAACCTGCCCGCTAGCTTATCCTGCTGGAAAGAGAGATATAGTGAAGTCTGCTAATAGAGATAACATCTCTCAACTCCATACCTGTAAGAGACCCACAGACAGCTGAGGAGACAGGGCACACAGCCACTGAGAATGTACTTTATCATTATCATTCCTGTTCAACATGCAAGTTTACAAAACCACTTCCATGCACAAGGAAGTATGAGAGCAGACAAGAGGGTACCACCACAGAAGATAACTGCTGGGAAATAATATTGCTGTCAGTATACAGCTTCTTGCCCATTTGTTTATCACAAGAATAATGCACGTGGAGTAAAATTAACATGACCAAAGAGAAATAGATTTGGAATAGCTGAAGTGAGAGATAACAGAGAGAAAGCTCTGAAGAATAAGTATCTGTTCACAGCTGGAAAAAAAAAATAGAAACAGCCAAAATGTAGAAGGTGGAGGAGAAACAGCAGAATCGGAGGTAGTGGAATAGGCCTCTTGCAATCATTACTTTGGCATTTGGTGGGACAGGATGGTAGAGATTCTTAGGATCAAGAAACTGCAGGCTGGAGAGACTCAGGCATGAAGCAAGTGGTCTTATCACAGCAGAGCAGCACCAGCACCCAGAACTCACACACCACAGAGCACTGCAGCAAAGGTGAGGAAACCTCCCAGAAAACAGCCAGCAATTTCCCTTTCACAGTAACACAGGCTTGTGAAAAAGCCCTTATTACCACCAGACCCTGTCCTCTTTAGAAACTGAGCAGGATTTCAGGTGAGCCCAATGCAAACAACAACAAGCAAAGGTGTTCCTGCCCTGGAGGCAGGACACCTGTCCAAATGGGCTAAACCACATGGGCAAGTACTTGGTGTTCCAGGCAGCTGTCATCACAGCTAGCTTCCCACATCTGCATAATGTGGGTTTCTGCTCTCACACATTCAGAGAGAGGTAGGGCCAGATCCCTAGCTCCCTCTAAAGTAGAAAGAGGATGGCAAAATCTAGGTCAGAACATTTTCCAGATAAAAAGTATTTCTGTCAGAGCTGTCTGCTCTAACACAGCTGAAGTGGCTCTGAAGACTCCCTGCTGTCAGCCTCAGTTCTTTCTGTGCAAAACGAGAGATAGAGAACCTTTTCCTAAAGGGTTAAAATCTAATTTGCATACTCTACTAGTCACATAAATGGGGAAAAACTAGGAATTTCAGACAGAGAATGCAGTAAATCGCTCTCATAGACCTCTACTACATACATTAATTTACTCTCTGCAAGCAAAGCATTGTTCTACAGCTATTTTCATTAGATCAGCCTGAACAGGTTTCTTTTCCCCCTATTACAATAGCAAAAGCAAAATATGGCAGGGCAAAAGCTGGATTGTGGCCCAAAACCCCCAACCGCCGCTGCCACCACCTGAATATAGTCGTGTTGGCATAGAAAGGGTAAGGAAAAGGGTTTTCTTTTCCCTCTTTGTTCTTGGAGCTACTGAAAACAGCAAAAAACTTTTCACCTTAGTTCTCCTTCGGCCAGTTGTGCATGTTTCATGCCTGTTCCATAAGAGTGTGCAGGGGGGTGAGGAGGAAGGATGGTCAATGAGCAACTGGAGATTAAAGCTACATCAGTGGTTCGATAAAAATCTATTTATACAAAATATTCTTTGACATAACTAAAGCAGGTACTGGATATTTTCTGTGCAACAGGGTTTATTTAGGGATCACTAATATAAAAGGATATTTAACCATTACACACAGCCAGCCCAGGAAAAGTGATTCTTATTCAATAACCTAGGAAAGCTCTTTCTTGATATTTGCTCTGTTAAGAAAAAACACTGTTAAAACACTCTGTTAAGAAGAAACACTTAGTTATCATCCTTTCAGATGCATTATGTATGCTGACACAATGTAGGAAGACAAGTCTAGCATCTGCCTGATAAAACTTAGATTGCAGACTCAAACACACCTGTAGTTTAGACACCTTGAGGTCTGGTGCAACACAAACATGACTGGAGGAGATAGGAGCCAGAAAGCTTCCAGTGCTCTCTGCCATTTCCATAACCTCTGTGCTTACTTTACAAGTGCTACAAGCTTTTGGATACAGGTCAGCCCTGACTGTTCACAGCAATTTATTTTCTCGTCTCTGGTGACATGAAAATGACAACACATACAACTGTAGGAGATGTCTTGTCAGGAAGATTAATATAAGCCCAGCTTTGTTTCAGGTCTTCAGAATCAGGGCAGTAACAGGCATCACAAACACGAAATTCCATGGGTTTTGTGCTCACATGCGACAGTTTGGTGCTGGTGACCCTATACCTTCCTCTCCTCCTGCTGTATTATCTTCAGTGACAGTTACGAGCAGGTTGATACTGCCAAGCCTTGATAAGACTGAGTCATAGGTGCTGGCCACGGCATTGGATGGATCTACTCTGGGCTGGACTAGACAACAGCCATCAAATGGCCAGCCTGCCACTGGTGGGAGTCACGGTAAGAGCAGCAAAAAACTCTGCACTTGTATATATATACACACATAATGTAAGAGAAATATAAAAAAAAAATTAACCAGAAGTGTTTTAATAAGTGACTGATGGAAGAGGTTGAGGTGGGAGGCTGCACCATTACCAAGTGTAGGGTGAAGCCCTGGCATGTTCCTTCCCCGCACAAACCACTGCTACCCCCACCACCAGGGAGAGGTTTCAGCAGAAGGGCTGCCGCAGGGCTTCAACCAAAACTGCTCTCTCTGCATACAGGCTCACTGTCATCTCCATATTGATCAAGTCAAGCCTTCCCAGCTCCTTTTCCTCCTAGAGGCTTCCGAGAGCTGACTGAGTGCCTGCAGGCATCCATCTCTCCTGTCTGGGTCTGCAAGATCCTCCACCTACGGCTCCTGGCTGCCGAGAGGGAAGATGTGCGCATTTATGCTCTTAGTTTTCACTGCCTTAAGAGCTGGAAAGGCCTGGTCAGACTCAGAGAAAGACAGATGAGCCCCAGATTCTATCTGGTATTTGGTTTGTGCTCAGAAGTACCTCGTAATTATGAGATACGTAGCCAGAATTTAAGTTTTCCATAAAACCAGAAAATTCTCAGGTCTCTTCACGTGGCAGAGAACACATTTCTTGCACAAAATAGGCATAAAAATTATGTCCATTCATGAAATCAAACAATAATGTCACAGTAATTTAGGGCTGCATAAACAGGAAAGCAGAAGAACAGGAGAGCAGAAAAGCAGAACAGTTGTAGGTATTAGCATTCTCCAGGTTGGCTTTGCCTGAAAGAAGAGTCAAGTCCTTTGCATTTAATCACCAGAAAAGTATTTATCAATTAGGAGGTGCTGAAAGAACATTAAAAAAACTGTTCAGGGACTGAAGGTCTACAATTATTAGGAAGGATTAAGGGTTTTATTACGTAGCTCGATTAATGATGACTGCAGAAAGGAACTAAGGCGCAAATGTTATTGTGCAAATAACTAGGAGGGGTTGGGATTATTTAGCGATGAGCACCCGTAATATGATGAAATTATAAAAAGAAAAAAAGAAACAGAAAGCAATGGAGCCTTAGTGTTAGACATATTTCCTGATTCTATTGTTGATGAAACCAAGGAGTAGTGGACTGTGAGCAAGAAAGTACTGTCAGTAATATTTTCTTGATCATGTAACATCCAAAATTCCACAGCAGCATGACTGCTAAAGGGCAGGTATGTGCATACCCAGCACAAGCACAGGACAGTCCTGAATCAAAGGTTTGCTGGAAGGGCTGGTTGGGAATTAAAACTGGAAATCGCTGCTCTGTTTTGGCTTTAGGAGTGCAGGAAAAGCAATTGCCAAACCATTAAATAAAAGTCTGTTAGTACAAGCTTGGTTTTAGCCACCTGGCTTTGTCAGGAGCTCAGAAGAAGCACAATCATACAAATTTCCAACTTCTACCATCTCCAGGGTGCTAGTAGTCAAAGTGTGCCTGACTGGGGCAAAGCTCACTGGCAGGGACGTCAGCCTCACCTGCTTGCTGGGATCTTTTACTGGGGAGTTGCAGCAAACGTTTTCTGGGTGTAGACAAAGACACCAACTGCCACACCTCTGCCATTAGCATTTTTCAAGTGCCTGAACTCGGCTGACGCTATAAACTAAGGCAGTTTGTCTCAAATACATCCTGGCACTGTAAATCACACAGAAGCATGCCTGACAAGAGGCATACTGGAAAGATAAGCATATATGTAACAGTCGTCTTATTTACCTGGCCCCCTCAGTGAAGTTGACACATGCACTCGGCTTCACCAGTAATCTGTGGTATCAAAGTCCATGCCTCTAGGGACACAGAGTGGCATAGCCACGGTAAAATATGATTCACAAAGGCTGGGCTCCTACTTCCAGGTTCCCTCTTTTTCATTTTATTTTTCTTTCTTTTTTTTTTTTTTTTGACACTTACTAAGAGTCCAGCTGAATGCTTCCCTTTTCTTCTAGGTCGCCAGTTGTATACTTAATGAATACCAACTGGCTGTTAGGAATACAAGAAAGAGTTAATCTCTGTGGGATCACTTTTACCGCACGTATACACACCCATCTTTTACAGCAATAATTCAAAGCAAAGTCGCTGGGAGCAGCAGTTCAGAACTGTGAGGATAAAGCTCCCCCCAGATACTGCTCCTAAACCTACAGCCTCATCACTATAAAGACGACCACCCTCTCCAAGTAGCCACACTGCAAATGATCCTTGTCATATCTGATGGCTTAGTTGATGTCTTTTAAACACACAGTCAACAGTTTAATGCTGCAATGGTCCAAAATAAGTCATCTTGAGTCATACTGTAGCACAGCACAGCAGCTTTGCATTGCAACATTTTGATAATACACAGACGCTGTCAGCCAGGTACTTCCCAGGCACAAACTAGTACAGAGCTCTAAACAAAATCCCTTCCCTGCCTCCCTACCAAATGACATTCTACTCTTTTTTCCCCTTACCACTTCTTCCCTCTCATGTGGCATTTGCAAATGTGCATTAAAGAGCAGTGCAGTTTAGGAGACACTCCTATTTGCAAATCTTTGTCTGTTCCTGCCCCTTTTTTCCTGTTCAAACTGAGTTGGCTGCTTTTCCTATTCCTCTTCTTAGTACACATGCCACCGCTCAGTTAAGAAACTGTCTAATGGAGCTTTCTGTTAGTGGGGATCCACTCTGAAGCTTTCGTCTCCTGAAGAGAGGCACAGTTAGTGCATAGTAGTTATTGTATGCAAAACACAAGTCATGCATTTCAATTAATTAACTTTTATTTTCCTGCAGCAGTGCTGTAAATGCCCGCTAGGCATTTTTTCCTTGTAAATGCCCTTACCTACTTTGAGCCTAATTGCATTAACATACAAATAAGGAAACCAAATAAATGAAACTCAAATTTGTATGTTACATCCTATCTCTAGATGTAAATGGTATCCGAGTAGACAGTGGCACTGATGTCGTGAAAATTAGAGAAGAGGCGAGGTCAAGTTAGGATAAATAAGACAAGTATTTAAATAAGTTTTGCTTTAAATAAGCCAAGGATTAAATAAGCACAGTCAAGGATACTATCCTTCTCTCACAGCTCATTAAGTAGAAAAAATAGTAGAAAGTTGCATTTGCTCCACAATGCTGAGGGCTGACGCAAAGCATACACCCATGAGCACTCGGGGACATGAGAAGCAATGTCACTACAGAGGAAAGCAAGTTTTTAGCAGCTTTATTATATTAGCACTTCTTCCCCATGCAATGCAATTTTCAGCAACTCTGCACTAACTTTCTTCTCTGCTCTCTCTGGGGGAGATGGGTATTTTCGTCACTCTATCTAGAATTCTTCCACCTACAGTAAAAACTGCAGTCATCACCTGGCTGGGAAACAAAGTCGCTGCTCTTACAATACAAGCAGGATTTAGCTTATGCATGAGTGTTGCAACAAAAACCTCCTGGAAGTCAGTCGACCATGCTGGGGCGGCAAGGGAGCTGCACAGGGAAGCAGTCCGGGCTCTCCCAGCTGAAACACGCCCTTCCAGCTTCCCTGTCCCCAAAGCACCCTCATCCAGGATCTCAAGGCGGGTCTGCTTATTTGTCCAGAAATATTTTGTTTGAGGGAAAAGCAGATGTAATCAGACCCATATGTGAAAAAAAGTCCCCCCCAAAACCCGGAAACTGGGAGTACAGTAAGAGTATTACACTGGTGATGCCAGATACAGAAGCAGCTCAGCAAGTTAAAACAGAGGCACAATAATCCCCTGATTTAGGGCCCCAGTGCAATAGAGAAGTACACAGAGGAAACAGTATTTTTTTTTCTGCCTGCAAACCCATTTCAGGCCATTATAAGCTGCAGGACAGGAGGCATCTAAGTAGCTGCCTTCCCTTGGCCAGACATAGTAAAAAATAAGGTGCTGTCTCGCTCCGGAAGGCCATTTTGCTATTGTCCTGGTGCGACTCCGCAGAGGACACCCTGCATGAAGGTTTCCATGCTGACCATCTTGACCAGCGAGACCACCAGTGCAGGGAGAGGGGAGATGGCTTGTGCCGAGCAAGGCTGCTGGGGCTGCAGAGAGTTGAAGGAAAGTCAGCTGAAGAAGGCACTTGTGGCCAGGTGGCTCTCTTACTTTGGTTGTAAAACAATTTTAGAAAATAAAACAAAATACCAACACCCTGGCTTCTCCGTGTTGTCCAACAGAAAAGATTGCTCCAAAGCAATCCAGACCCGTGTTTCTTCGCTGGTTTAAGCCCTGAAACACCATTAGTACTGGCTCTAGGGAATTCCAAGCAAGGGAAGCCCCATCCCAGAATGCAGCCGCTTTGTGGCAGAAGTGGGAAGACCGTTCGTGACATTAGCACCCAACACACCCGGGGGGTCCGTTGCTTACCATAGTCCATGAGGGATTCACAGCTCCAGTTGAGGTCCTCCTCGCCCCGCGTGCAGCTCTCCCACAGTGACGCTTGCTGCACGTAGGGCTCGGACTCGGACTCCAGCCAGCCCCTGCCCGCCAAGGCGATGATGCC